TCTCTCTCTCTATCTATCCAAAAGTCTGTAAGAAAAAGCCAGATGACCCATGTTAAAAAATGGCCAAAAGACTTAACAGGTCCTATACAAAGAAGATATCCAAAGCAGCTAACAAGCATGTGATATCACTCTACAACCACAAAATGAAAAGAGGAAAAGAAAAAGAAACAATGCCAAGAGTTGATCAAAATGTGGAGCAACTGGATTCTCATGTAGTATCTGTACCCTGCCCATAGCTCTTCAGGCCTCACCAATTCAGGGCATGCTGGCCCAACATCCCTCAGTTGGCCACGGTATCTCACTCCCTAAGGGCTTTCTCTGGTTTCAAGAACAATTCTGTCTGTCCAGAGATGTCAGAGAATAAACTCCCCTCCTCTTAGGAGTAATCTTAACCTCAGGTTGACTAGAGTGCTGTATAAATATCCCAAATCCCTTGCTCTCTGACACATGCTCTATACCATTTCCGGAGATCTTTAGTAGGATTGAGTTCTAATCGCCCACAGTGGTACTTGCTTTATAATTCACCCTTTATTGGCTCCCATCCCTTTCTCATTCACTTACCTACTTCCTACCAAGATTTTGGGGTGCATCTCCCAAATGAAATGCCCTCAAATTGTCACTTAAGGTATACATCTAGAAAAATCCAAATTAAGATATATATTATATATCTTATATATATATTATATATATATTATAATCTATATATACTCCAATAAAATTTTAGTTAAGAAGAAAAAGGCGATAGCTCTTAAGTTTTGGGGGGTGGGTAACAGTAGTTAATATTGCTTAGGATAGGTTGCTGTGAAATGTGGTCTATCAGGATACACTTTACCACTATTTTCAGCGTACAAATTGCATTTGTCAGCCATATGAATATAAATTTGATCATGTGGTCAGAAACTGCTAATTTTTACATGGTTTTGCCCACTTAATTATCATCCCTCTTATGTTGATAAGGAAGTTGAAAATCATAGATGCAAAATGATTTATTCAAGATCACCGTTTCAGGATGAATTAGGATGTGTTAGGCTTGATAGGAAATCATTATGATTACCAGATTGTGAAGGGTCTAGGATAAGAATTGTAAGAAGGCACTTTATCTTCTGCTTAGTGGGAAACCAAGTAAAGTTATAAAACAGAGGAATGTAATGACCAGATTTTGTAGAAACTCCCTCTGAGTTCAGGATGGAAGATGGGTTAGCGAGGGAAGGGACAGGAAGCAGGATGACCCTTGAGGTAGCTCTGACAGTCATCCAGGGGTAAGAGAGGAAGAGCAGCCAGTGGGGTAGGGGCTGTAGACACGGCAGAGGGGATAGATTTTTGAGATATGGGCGGAGGGTGGGGGGTTTGACAAGTCTTAGCGACTAATTAGATATAAGGGTAGAAGAAGAGGGAAGAAAGTTTTTTGTTTTGTATCAGTTGATCATTTAAATATTTTCACTGTCACCAAGTCATTGTTTTTGTAAGAGGGGTCCCCCTAGTGGTAAAAGGAAACCAAGAATGGGATTCTTTACCCTTGGTACTTGTGTTGTGGGACGTGATTGTATTACTGAACCTAGTTAGTTACAAGGCTATAATTCCCCCACCTTTTTTTTTTTTTTTTTTTATGGTGGCAATGACTCACATCTAAGAATAATTGAAAGCTGGGTGGTGGGGTTGGGGGCAATGGATATAGGTGTTCAAAAGGTACAGACTTCCAGTTATGAGTTCTGGGGATATAATGTGCAGCATGGTGACTATAGTTAATAATACTGTGTTGTATATTTGAAAGTTGCTGAGAGAGTAGATCTTAAAAGTTTTCATCACACAAAAAATTGTAACTATGTGAGGTGGTGGATGTATTAACTAAACCGATGGTCGTGGTCACTTTGCAATATATACATATATCAAATTATTACATTGTACACCTTAAATGTACACAAGGCTATATATGTCAATTATATCTCAGTAAAGGTGGGAAACGACCCAAAAATCTTCCTGAAAGAAAAGTACATCTGAGAGCCAATGGCTGCCAATGGGTCAGAAAGTGGGGCCTGACAACAGCCTTCGCCCACTCAAGCAAAGGAGCTTCAGGCCCCCTTCCCTCTCCAAGAAGTTGCCATGTAGCTGGGAGGAGGGGTTGGTTGCTATCAGTGGTGCTGAATCCAAAGGGCGCTGGGGAACTCTCGTAGGAATACTGATCTGATTTCTTAAGAGCATGGCAGAGGAAAGAGTAGAGGCTTTAACGCCAAATGCACCTGAATCTGAATGTTGGCTCTAGCGCAAACATGCTAGTATCGGTTTTTTCCTCTGTGAACTATACATAATTGTACCTAGGTGGTTGTGAGGTTTGAGGTAATATGTGTAAAGCACTAGCTCAATGCCTCCTTAACAGTTGGAGATGATGATGATGATTACCTCTGGAGCTTAGGAGATGGCCCACTGCGGTCCTTTAGGCAATTAGGAGAGTCTTAGGGATCCTGTTTATTCATGAATATGCTAATAAAAAGAGGGAGCTCCAAAGCTGCCTCAAAAGATGCTAAGCTCTCTGGAAGCCTCCAGGGCCAAGTAGTGCATCTAAATAGACAAGGTAACACCCCAGAGAGGCTTCTCTGTGCTTTCTCTCTTTGTGCTTTGGGAATAACCTACGAAATAAACAAGCACTTTCAAAAACAGGTGCATTTGAATAAGCCTGAGTCATCATCGACCAGGATGAGATATTTCAGAAACTTTCCATTTTGAGCCTTAGGCATCTTCCCGATTATGTATAAATACCTTGCTTGTTATATAAATACATAGTGAATGTAACTTTTTGCCAAGTAATGCAAGGCCAGCAGCTACAAAAGCATCTGAGAAAGGAGCCATAGCACAATTGTATCCAGTGGGTCCCCTTCCGGAGTCCCTTAGGGTCCTGGAAAGGTTTAAAATGTTAAAACTGTAAGAGCTACCTCTTGAAATCACCACAGCCATTTTTTTTCCCACTCCAGGAGCTCTGGGTGCATGTGTATTAGTTGGTTTTATCCATCTGTAAGCTTTTGTAAGCTCCCTAATGAAAACAACTGTATTTTCTTGGCTTAATTGCACGTTATTGAGTGTTCTGAGTCTCATGCTGTAAATGTGCAATAATGAGAAATGGTCTGTTCATCAGGGACAACCAGCATACTAGGTGAATGGTGAATCAGGGATTTTATTGATGTGCCCAGAAAGGAACTTCTTAAAGGTCAGCAGTTGGTTAAGTGACTGCCTTTGGCTCAGGTCATGGGCTCAGGTCATGATCTCAGGGTCCTGGGATCGAGTCCTGCATCAGGTTCCTTACTCAGTGGGGAGCCTGCTTCTTCCTCTCCCTCTGTCTGCTGCTTCCCCTGCTTGTGCTCTCTCTCTCTCTCTCTCTCTCTCTCTGATAAAAAACAAAACAAAACAAAACAAAACAAAACAAAACCTTCAAAACGTTTCTCTAAAAAAAAAATATAACCAAAGAAACAAAACAAAACAACTTTCTTATTGCGTTGCACATAGATTGTATCATATTGAATAACAAAGAGGGCTTGGCAAGATTAATCATTTATGATGCAGTTCATAAGGAAAACAGAAGGATACAACTGATGTTTTATACTTTTTCTGGACACAGAGTCACCATCTGCCAGAGGCCGTGGCGGGTGGTGGTATGCAGAGGGAACTTGTACAAATAAGTCTGCCTTTGAGTATGATTTTAGGTGCCCACCCCTAAAGAGTGGATACCAGAAAGCTTATTAAGTGGGGGAACAAGTATGAAAACCAGTGGTCCCCCATATTGATTCTCTGCAGAGTCTTCCCTTTAGCTTTCCGTAAGTTTTACCTCAGCCACAGGATAGCCAAATCTCATGATTAAAACTGTGAGTATGACATTTTCTGTATAGTTTAGGAAGTCCTGCCCTAAAAACCAAAAAGGTTGAAAAGAAATTTGTGTGGTATCCTAAAAAGTTTTCAAAAGACAACGTGATGAAGATACTTTAAAATAAAAAATTAATTGCTTTTTATCAACTCAATAAAACGTGTTTTTTATATTTGCTTTTGAACTATTCTTTTTCTATCATTAAATGTTAACTTTATACTTTTTTAAACCTAAATTCCCCAGATAAGTTCTCCTTAGTTATCCTTGGGCAGGATTTTGGCCAAATTACAAATGGGTCAGTCTGTAGAAAGGTCATGACAATTGCTCCTACATGAGTGTGGATTTATGTAAATCTAATTGTCTTTACCCAAACAGCTCCCAAGCAAATGAGACTGAGATAGAAATAAATGGTCATAAGCGTGTGTGTGTGTGTGTGTGTGTGTGTGTGTGTGTGACTTGAGATTCTTAAAAATTACACATGTGTACATTGGTTTATTGAGGACATGGTCTCTCCATTTGGTAGTTGTCTGGGCTAAGACTAGTCCCTTCATTTGCAGTGCATGTTCTGGGTAAAAGCCATTTTCCTTCCTTCCTTCTTTCCTTCCTTCCTCTTTCTTTCTTCTCTTTCTTTCTTTCTTTCTTTCTTTCTTTCTTTCTTTCTTTCTCTCTCTCTTTCTTTCTTCTTTCTTTCTCTCTCTCTTTCTTTCTTTTAAAAGATTTTATTTATTTATTTGAGAGAAAGAGAGAGAGAAAGCAGGAGCAGGGGGGAGTGGTGGAGGGGGAGGGAGAAGCAGACTCCTCCCTGAGGAGGGAGCCCGATGCAAGACTCCATCCTAGGACCCTGGGATCATAACCTGAGCTGAAGACAGACGCCTAACCAACTGAGCCACCCAGGCTCCCTCAAAGCCATTTTTCATTCATAAGTGACTGTGATGGGTGTGCACACAACGAGCAAAGCCAAAAGCAATGCCTCTTGCAGCACACCCTATCTTTCCTTTAATCTTTGCTCTTGGTCTCCAAATGTCTGAATCCAATGTGTGTACTTGTGTCTGGGTAACAATTTAAATCAAAACAGTGTGTTAACAAACTTTTGAGGTAGAAAACCTTAAGCCCAGCAGTTTGAGAATGCATTCAGTGAGCTGAGTCTTACCTTTCTGTATCCCCAGAGCTGGTTCCCCTTCATGCCGTGACAGTCATAGAGAGTGACTGCACTGTTGTGCGAGATTGCATCGAAGCAGAATTTTCGGGTGTGCAGTGGCTCACCGGGTCGAATATCTTCTCTCCACCCAAAAGTAAAGAGCTAGCAAAAACAACAATAGCAGAAAAGCTACAGTGAGCTTAATTTGGAGAGTCTGAAGGAGGGGGGAGGTCTTTTTAGCAATGCGGAATTTGTGCTTTGTGATTTATCAGAAAGGAACTCCATCTAGGCATAATAGAGGTGTTGAAAAAGGCACGTATCAGAAAGCTCTGTAGCAGCAACAGTGGAAACTTTGGCCTGGGCTGCCAAAAAATACAAATGAGGGGTTTCCAATTAGGTCCCAGGAAAAATAACAGAGCGGTGGCATGGAAATAAAAGAGAGAAAGGGAGGGAGGTGGGGGGAGTGGCAAGGTGGAAGATGGAGGGGTAAGGGAGGGAGAGAAAGAAGCTCTTTAATGAGGCTCTTTACATTCTTCATTTAGATAAAATGTTACTGGATCAAATGCTATGCAGTTAGCTCAAATAAGCAGATTAACTGCAAAAAGACCAGGAGCCGAGTTGAGCTGGATGGATGCCAGCAGTTTGAAAAATTTTATTTAAATAGAAGCTAAGCTTAATGACGTCAGGAATAGGCAAATTAATTTTTTGGGGTTGGTATGAATAATTCAGCGGGGCAATGTAGAGTTTTGGACTGTAACACACAGTAAGAGATACAGTTTACACACATACACAGATTCCTCCTTCCCAGATGAAAACAGAAGCTTCAGGAAAGGATATTTATCCTTACTGCTTTTAAGGGACTCTGCTATTCCATCCAATCTTTTCCTCGTTTAGTCCATTCTATCTTATCCATCCCATTCTATTATTTGAAAAATGCTACTTTGGAGGCCCTAAGTGGATTTTAGAATATATTGAATTAAGAAAAAAACACTTCTGTAAGGGTGTATTTTTTTATTATTTATTATTTTTTATTTTTTTAAAGATTTTATTTATTTATTTGACAGAGACACAGCGAGAGAGGGAACACAAGCAGGGGGAGTGGGAAAGGGAGAAGCAGGCTTCCCGCGGAGCAGGGAGCCCGATGCGGGGCTCGATCCCAGGACCCTGGGATCATGGCCTGAGCCGAAGGCAGACGCTTAATGACTGAGCCACCCAGGCACCCCTGTATTTTTTTTTTTAAACAACATATTGCAACTTTATTAGATTTTCCTATTTTACTGGCTGTTTGGACTCAACAAAGGCCTTAGTAACCTGTCACTTTAACATCTTCACGTGTCACTGTACAGAACACAAAATCTGATGAGATGGACCCAGTCAACCTGTCGAACAGAACAACTGTTAACATCACAGCTGTGGTCATGTAGTGTTTTTATAATAATTCAATTGCAAACATAAAGATAGTGTCATGTGCAGGTTCTCTGCTGCTGTGTAAGACCTCATCCACAAACAGTTTACCAGACCAGGCCTAGTTAATACAGATCCCAAAAGATGCCATGAACAGGGAAGGCAAAACTCTGCCTCATATTTAGGATGAGCAAAGTAGCAAGTCTATGAAGGGGACTTTCTTGAGTTTGAGCTGGTCAGCCATCCGAGGAGTTCAGTAGGAGAAATTCTCAAGGAAGTGGGAAAATAGACTAGATGAGACCTATGCTTTCTTCCAGTTCTAAAATTTCAGTGAGGTTATGTAATTCTTACAATAGGGCCGACTTAAGGCGGCCTATGTGAGGCCAAGCTGTGAATTGCAAGACAAAGAGCTGTCCTGTTGATACACAAGCCAGCAGGCTGCTGAGCTATGTATAGATAATACATTTGGCACCGACCAGGCCCTCAGAATATTTCAGTTTTTCCCTCCCACCTGCGTAAGAAAATGTAGAGAATCTGGCAAAATACCGGGAATGGCTACCAAAAACAGGGACGTGGGGGGCAGACTGCGGAAAACTTGAAACACTGGGCTAAGCAGTCGGAAGAAAATTGGAAAGAAATGCTGTAAATCAGACATAGGAAAGTGGATTGCCTGTGTAATGATGAGTGACTATATTCTGTTTTCCTGCAAGACAGGACACAAGATAATGCTTTACCTAGAAGGACGAAGGTTTTAGGTGAGGGCTGTGGAAGAGATTCAGGAAGAGGCGTCTTGTGGTCTTTTTTCCTACAGCTCCCCTTCCCTCCCCACCCATATGATGGTAGACTGAGACATTTTTAGACTCATTTAAATCCCCTGCAGGACAGAGACTTATCAAGGAAAATGGCGATCAGCTAGGTGTTTCTGATTCCATCACTCTCTTCAAGTCAGAACTCACTAGTCCCTTGGCTTCTGAAATACTGGGTTCCTGTTCCCCTGTTCCTCTATCTTGCTCATGTCCCTCTTGGATCTGTCTTCGACACAGGTGCTGCTTAGGGTTCTCCCTTGGACCTTGTCTTCTACCCCTGCTGGTTGCTACTGTGCATGCTCAGTCCAACTCTCACCAACACACTGATAACTTATCATCTGTGATGTATCCAACTCCATGTAGGATTTCACACCGCATGCCCCATGGACATCTCACATTCAAAATATCCTAAATTCAATTGATTTTCTTTCCTTCTAAGCCTGTTCCTGCTCCTTTATTTTGTTTTAGTCGGTGGTCATAGTATTCACGTGCCAACCTGGGAGTCTTTCGTCTTTTAACCCCTTTGTCTCCCTCACCCTCATTCTTTAATCAATTAGCAAGTCTTACCATTTTTGTCTCCCAATATTGCTGGAAGAAGTCTCTTCCTCTCTATTTCCATTATGTTTGCTCTTAATATTTCTTGTCCGGACTACTGAAATGACTTCCTGATTGGTGTCTTTCCCACCTTCCTTCACAACCGTTTGACTATGTTACCTTTTGGCCTAAAATCTCACCATGTTTTCGCATAATCCTTAAAGAACACAATACAAACTCTTTAATGATGTGGGAAACAAAGGCAGAAGAGAAATTATTAAATTTCCTTACTACCTAAAGGCTACTGACAGGTCCGTGAAACAGGTAGAACGACCTTCTTCTAGGGACTCAACTGCCTCCATGTTGACACTTTGCTAAGGGCAAAAGGAATCCTAACGCGCCCCCCCACCCCCTGCCCCGATCCTGTAAGCCTACTTTAACATATAAAAGTTCCTTTAGAAATTTCCTTTATCTCTACCGCACAAGATATGTGTTGGCAATCACCCTCCAAGCATATGGCCCACCAATATACATCCGAAGGGTCAGATGACTAAGGTTTTATTAGACAATAATAAATGACTTTTCCCAACAATAGCTAGCCCCCTCGAGGTCCTGGAAACCTTGCTTCCAAAATTCCTTAGAGACTTCCGCTATCCCTCACCCACTCCCAACTTGAAAGTACACAATGCGCCGCTCCTCATGACCCCAGTGCCGTTCTTTCTGCTCCCCGTGCTTTAATACAACCACCTTTTTGCAACAAAGACACCTCAAGAATTCTTTCTTGGCCATCAGCTTCAAACCCTAATGTCTTTCCTACATCATTTAACATATAAAGCATTTCCCACAGTCTGGCCTTTGCCATTTTCCTCCAGCTGCAACCCTTTTCCCTTAGTTTATGTTCCAGCAACAACAAAACATTTGGAAGTTGCTAAGAGAGTAGATCTTAACAGGTCTCACCACCAGAAAAACAAATCCTGTGACTATGTGTGGTGATGTGTGTTAGCTAGACTTCCTCTAGTGATCACTTCGCAATATGTACAAACACTGAATCATTATGTTGTATGATTGAGGTTAATATAATGTCGTATGCCAATGATATGTCAGTTCAAGAACATTTGTAAGTCCTTGCGCTAATAAGGCTGTATTTTCCCGTCTGTGACTTTGTTTGTGAGAGTACCTGTGGTCAGGAGGAGGCCAACATTCCCCAGCCAGCCTAGTTCATGCTCATCAGTTCTTTGAGGTTCAGTCCAGATGCCCACTCATCCAAGAAGCCTTCCACTTCAAACCCTTCATTCCTTCTCATCCTTTACCTTATTTCATCATGATCATCCATCTATGTCTCTGTATGTCTCACTAGACGGTGAGAACCTTAATGGTTGGAATCATGTCTTTCTGATCTCTGCATTTCCAGCATCCAGAACAATTCATGATGTATAATAAATGTCCAAGAAAATTTCTATTGGATAAATGAAAACTTGCACTCATTACATTAACAGGAAGTGCATGGGGATAGCTGACAAGACTAATCAATTAGTTTTTTTAGTCCTTCAAATGAATTTGTGCTGTTTGTGTCCAATCACAACAATGTCAACAATAATATTATTTTTTGAACTTTCATCTTCAGTGATTCTGGACTTGGTTACGTATTACTGAAATAGAAACTTCCTGTCCTACAAACCTGTCGTTGGCACTGATTAAGTCTTAATTTCACTTAAATATCACATTTCCTTGGTACTGTAAGGAGCCCAACCCATGCAGGAACTAGTGGTCTTGATTGGTTTTTCCATTTCCCTCTCTGCCTCAGCTTCTCTTTTTGGGTACACATAGAAGGCTAGAGCTGAAAGGGACTGTCATCATTACCTAGCACAGTTCCTTATTATACAGTTGAGGAAAATCAGGCCTGGAGAAGTTAAATGGTTGGTCGCCACCACACTTCAAGTGTTCAGTCTTATGTGTTCTTTTTTTTTTTAATTAATTAATTTGAGAGAGCAGCGGGGGTGGGAAGGTGGGGGGCTTGAGGGAGGGGCAGAGGAAGAGGGAGAGGGAGAGAATCTCATGGAGGGCTTGATCTCATGACACCGAGATCCTGACCTGATCTGAAATCAAGAGTACCCTGCTCAACCGAATGAGTCACCCAGGCCCCCTGGCTTATGTATTCTTTTTTTTTTTTTAAAGATTTATTTATTTATTAGAGAGAGAGAGAGAAAAAACAAATGAGCAAGTGGGGGGAGGGGCAGAGGGAGAGAATCTTCAAGCAGTCTCCCTGCTAAGCGGGGAGCTAATGCAGGGCTCAATCCCACCACCCTTGAGACCAGTACCTGAGCCGAAACCGAGTTGGATGCTTAACTGACTGAGCCACCCAGGCGCCCTGGCTTATGTCTTCTTTTATAGACGGTCTTTATTTCTTTTTTTTACTTTTCGCTTTCTTAATTTTTACTTTTCTTATTTTTCATTAAAGGGATCAGCTAAGTACAAAAGAATTCCTGTGTTAAAGCAAACATCAACAAATTCTTCTCTTGATAGACCTATTCATCTATTGTCCCAATTATATCCCAGGGCTCCTTAGGGCACTTTTATTCTCGTTCCTAGGTTTGTCATTGTAGTGCAATAATCATTCTCAAATTTGTAGATTGGTTGTTAGCTGGTAGTTTCCACAGTGTTTTATGCTGCATCATCATCATCATCATCATCACATGGTGATTACTTTCCTGTACCCCAAGTGACAGTTCCAGATTATATCAACTGCTTTATTCTTCAGCACCCACCATTAGCTAAAATTTTTCTCTCTTATGTCTTCGAAATGCTTTCTATTGCCATTTATCTTATCCTAATGGCCATGTCAACCCAATCAGGCACCAAGGCTTTCATTCATTAGGCACACTTTCTCCTGTGCAATTTCATTGAACCAGAAATGAGCAGACATTATGAATGTATTTTCATTGTTTGCATGTGATGATGTTATTGTGACATTTATAGTTTGTCTCTTACCTTTGGACTGTTCCTTACTGATGGAAGGATTTAGATTTCCTTCAGGCTTCCTGTACAATAACTCTTGATTTTTTTTCCAACCTCAAATCCTCAGTTTTAGAGTAAATTGACGTTAATCTCTCCACTTGCCACTTTTAAATATAGATCCAGAATGATACATAACTAGTACTTCTTCGCTTTACTATCAATGTGGTATGTGTAATGTTGCCCGGGTTTATACCGTGTCTTATGAATAAGCTCAACTAGACTTAGTACTGCAAATATACTTATCACCCTGAGCTTGCTACCTGATTTGAGAAGATTGAAAATATTTTTCTCTCCGTTGGGTGGTTCTATTTTATTTCCTTGTTATGCGGTTGGCAGAAATCTGAGGTAGTGCATGTTCTAGTCAGTACCCAACTCTGTTCTGCGAGTGAGGCTGTGTATCCTGGGAACCGGTCCTTTACCGCATACACGGACTTGCTCCCATCTCTGTGCACATCTCCACTCCAGGTCTTGCGAAGGGAGACCTGCTTCCTCAGCAGGAGGAAGGCCTGCTCGGCCACAATACTTCCTCCCCAGCATGAGATCAGAGTCTTCTGCCCGGTCCAAACTGTAGGCCACTTCCTCCCTTCCCTTTCCCTTGGACTCCAAATGGCATTTGGAGGGTATTCTTTCCAGACCTTACAGTCTTATTAAGTTCGCTCTGCTTTTTCTTTCTTTGTCCCTAAAGGAAACTGAAAGCCAGCACACCATGCTACAGTGATCTCAAACAGCTAAATAGAAGGCCCTGGAAAAGTGAATCACACAAATTGCTTCCTTCACAGAAGCCAAATTAGACATCACTGGTGTTCTGCAACAAGAGCCATTTTCTTATAAAGGTGCTTCAGTGGACGATCCTTCATTTCCCATGTAACTATTTTGTTTATTCATTTGTGTTTTATTTTTGCCATTTGTTAAAAAGGATCATTTCAACGCTAATAAGTGCACCTTGTGGTCTTTGAATGCTGTTGAATAAAAAAGAATACCTATAACTTTCCTGCTCTGATATACTTCTTTTTTTCGCCCAGACATTTTAATTTAAGTGGAGAAGAATGAGTCTTAATTCATATAAGTCACTGAGTAATACAGTGAATAAAGCTTACAGCTAATTATCGGAAAAACAAAGCAGCTTGTCATGTTTTAATCACCAAGCCAATATATGGTAATACGTATTTCAAAGATGATTCATTTTTAACCTCCTGTCAACTTTGTTTAATCTCCCTGTAGCTTTGTTTTCAGTATCTCTAGAGACCAGGAATCTTTTCTGTATTAACTGGTCTTTTTGTGCCTCATATAGGTGTCTGCTTGTCTGGTGCTGCCCTCTGGTGACCATTTTTTGAATTACATGAGATAGATTTTAGCAGTTCGGCATGAGGAGGGAAAAAGAAACCATTTTTATGCAGTGTAGCTGGTTTTATTTACATTTATTTTAGGGATGTCAAATAAAATCTGTGATCCAGAGCATATTTCGTTCTAGAACATTCCAGGGGATAGAACTATGAAACCTGATTCAGGCATTCAGGCAAGGCATACTTCCTATCAGATGGCTGGCTAGGTGTGTTTCCTGGTTGGGCTGCACAGGGTAGAGAGGGAGTTAGCCCAATAGACATAGATTTTCCATATGGCATACTTCCTTTTCTTTTTTCTTTAAAAAAGTATCCTTTTCCACTCTAAATGTGGGTCCTACTGATAGGCCTCTGAAGCCTTCTCTCTTGCTCCTAGGGGCTGAAGTCAGAATTACTTCTTGGAGGTGACAGGCCAGACTATTGCTCACATCCCTAGTAACATTCCTGTGGTGTTTACCGAAGGAGATGGGGGAAGGAGGAGCAAGTCAACTTTTGCTGATATTCATTCCCATCAGTAAATCCTGGAGCTGCAGAGATTTTTTATTAAAAAAAAAATTTTTTTTTAAATTTATTTGAGAGAGAGAGAGAGGGAGAGCACAAGCAGGGAGGAGGGGCAGAGGGAGAGGGAGAGGCAGAGGCAGACTCCATGTTGAGCAGGGAGCCTGAGGTGGGGCTCGATCCCAGGACCCGGGGATCATGACCTGAGCCGCCGGCAGACGCTTAACTGACTGAACCACCCAGGCGCCCCTGCAGAGCCTTCCTTAAAACCCATCTGATAGGTGTCTGCACGCTGCAGGATATATTTGAGTGAATGATAAATAGTATTTGGTTTTGGCAGCTGCCTTGGATCTGAGAGAGTTTTCTAATTTAGTGTTAGTATAAAGTGGTCCGGGGGAGGAGATGTCATGAAGCAGAAGGGAAAGTACCTTTATTTTGCCCCTACCACACGAGCAAGATGCTCTTATATTGTAGACACGGTTTATTCTCACAATAAACCTGTTTGTGGGGTGAATATTACTGTCCCTATTTAGAGGAACCCCAGCTTGGAAAGATGTAACAATTTCACAAGGTCACACAGGTTAAGGGGGCTGCAATCTAGGTGGGCCTGACTGGAAGGCCCACGATCCTTCTGGAACACCATGAGGCTGTGGCTCAGAGTGCAAGGGCCAGATGACCGATCGGGGAGGGGCAGTGTTGGTTCATTGACTGTTGGCGTTAATTCTGCGCTGTGCTGCGCACTCGGCTCCCCGCGGCGTTCCCAAATCACGGTGCTCTGCACTGTGGTGTTGGCCACATGCGGGGTCGGATGGGACAGCGGGGGGAGGCCAGGGCGGGGGCGACATGATGTAGCTCCGCGCACCGGAACGGCTCTTTAAGATCCTAGGCCGGGCATGGTTTGTCTTCACTAGTTTCCTATACAAGATGGGTCCTTGAGGACCATAGCTATAGGAGAGGACTCAAGCCTTACTGGAAACTGCTTGTCTACTGTTTCCGGTTTTCATAAGAGAGGCATTTTGGAAAATTCTGGAAACAAAGCACAGGCAGTTTATGCTGCCCTGAACGGGGGACGTGGCCTTTCGCAGAGGGAGGGGGCAGTAGAATAGGGAAGGGGCTTTACCTGTACCTGCATATTTTATTCTTTTAAAAAATATAGCACGAGCTGCAGATCCTTGTTCAGTCCGTGTAATGACTGTGCCGAGGTGTGTTATAATATTTTTTACAGTTTCCTATTTGATTTTTTAAAAAGATTGTATTTACTTATTTGTCAAAGAAAGAGACAGCACGAGCAGGGGAGCTTCAGGCAGAGGCAGAGGGAGAAGCAGGCTCCCCGGGGGAGCAAGGAGCCCCATATGGGGCTCGATGCCAGGACCCTGGGATTATGACCTGAGCCGAAGGCAGACGCTTAACCGACTGAGCCGCCCAGGCGTCCCCCTATTTGATTTTTCATAATTAAACATTAAGAAAATAAAAAGGGGCAGACACAATTCCACCCACTATCTTTTCTCTTTTGCAAATGACACAGTGTGAGGAAAGTCCCTTATAAGAACCATCTGTTTTCAAAGGGGGTCAGGAGTCACAACTCACTTAATAAACAGAATTGCCCTGAAATGCTTTTCAATCAAAGGCATTAAATAGGTCCAAAGTATCCCAGGAAACCCATGATGGGCTGTTACTGCCTCAAAGTTGTCCTTCATGTGTAGGATGACTGACTGCTACAGCAACAAGAGGGGTATGTAAACGGTTCTTTTCAATATATCGCCAGAGGGGAAAGCAAGATGAGATAAAGTCGCAAAAAACATACAAAATAACAGAGTCTTTCAGTAAAACTGTGAAATTTAGTTGGAAGATTACGTAGCACTCTACAGGCTTTTCCTGGTTTGAAGACTACCATTCTGGGGAAGGAAATATACGCCTAGGACTTTTCTACCATCCTTACTACTACTTAAAGCACATTTTTGTACACGATCTCAATGGATTATCCCAGCTGCTCTGAGAGGAAACAGAAACCAAGAAGGTAAGTAATTCACCAAACAACAGGGCTGGTTGGTGGCAGAAGCAGGACCCCACTGCAGGTCTGACCCGTCCCAGTTAGAGATCTCACCCTACACTTCCATGCCTGCCTCAGCTCCGCTTGCTCCTGTCACTTCTGGTTGCGAACCTACCTGTTCATGAGACCATGTCCTTTCAGAACCATCCTTGACACAGATGTCCAGCCTCAGTTCAGTGCCTGTGGCTCCATGCTTGCTGTCCACGCAGAGATTTGCTGCCACGTTTCGAATCTGTGGAAAGAAAAAAGAATGAGCATCGGGCTGGTTTTTCTTGCACCCCTAGCTCCTGGCAATCCTGGTATAGATTCGGTAGTTATCTTTTTAATCTATTTGAGAAAGAGCAAGGGGGAGAGACAGAGAGAGAGAGAGAGAGAGCGCGCGCACAGGTGCACGTGCACAAGCGGGGGGAGGGGCAAGCGGAGGGGGAGGGGAAGCCGGAGAAGCAGGCTCCCCGCAGAGCAGGGACCTCCCGATATGGAACTCGAGCCCAGGATCCTGGGATCATGACCGGAGCTGAAGGCAGACGCTTAACCGACTGAGCCATCCAGGCGCCCCTCAGTGGTTGTCTTTTAGATTACATGATTCCTGAACGATGTTTTAAATTTATATGCAATTTGTGGAGCAAAATCAGGGAATTAACTGTAATATGGCCTAGTGGGCAAGTCAGGGAATGTGAGATGGTTGAAGAGCGAGGCTGCAGCTGGGGGCTGCCGCAGAGGACTATGGGATAATATAAGGCGGGGAGCAGCCTCGTTCCTGACTTCCGCAAACTGACGATTTCTTTCTTCAGGGAGTTCCTAACTTGGGATTTGTTATCTTCTTGCTCCAGAGCATCTTCTACCTTTTCCGCCTTAGCTGGGAGAGAGATCCAGTATGAAGCAGGTGATGGAAGTTGTGCGTGAGAGAAAAGAACGAATCACTGAGCCCCGTGTGATTCTGTGCAGGATGCGGGGACCATGTCCCGGTTTGCCTGGATGATCCCGGGCTACACCCGTGGTCATGGTGTAGCATTTCTCCTGGATGATCAATTCAGTGGCACCCTAGAGTATTAGCAAAATAGGAAAGATGGTACTATGGGTGCAATGCTGTGCTGGATGAAGATTCTCTACGGAAAGTCTGAACTCTGACAAGTTGCAGAATGGGAAAAAAGTGACCGATAATTCTTTCCACTTATCATATTAATACTGACATAAGGAACGGAGTAGTTAGGGGTGGGCCAAGAGTGGACTAGGAAAAGTATCAACAACAGAAATAGCAACAGAAAGAGTTTAGGCCATGGCCACGTGTCCCTTCTCAAGTCGGCCTGCCGGAGGATTTCACCAATTCTGCTGACATTGGAACAACGCCCTGTAATAGAGATGGATGTTGTTTATGGTTTGTTACTTAGAAGTCAACGTTTAGCTAAGCTCAGCTATCTCAATCCTTTTTATGCCTTTATATAGTTCTGGATTATAATAATCCCTTTAGGTATTGTTAAGAATGGAAACAAGAACAGGATGTACTCAGGTGATAATTTTAGTCAAGGCTCTTTTGCCAAGAATGAGCAGATAAGGATAAGGAGTCTGTCCAGAGCAGGATGGCTGAAGCAGGCCTATTCCTACCGGGATGGGGGCAAGAGGTAGAGAGAAGGTTGTAATGAAATATACTGAGTGTTATGAAAGGAATAAATGATGCCGGAGTGAGACTGTGGTGGAAGGAGTGATTTCTCATTTCACTTACTGTCGGAGTAGAGGTTGGTATAATGTCATTCGGGAGGGAGCCAATGGGTTAATCCGTTTCCTTATTCAGGGAACTTGACCACAGTGGTGGTTCATCACCCACTATTGGACCTCTACCTTCAGGGTCTCTGTCCCCAGTGCCAGGGGAATGGGAAATAATGTAGGACACAGGGCAACAGTTTTTTTTTTTTTAAAGATTGTATTTATTTATTAGACAGAGAGAGACACAGCGAGAGAGGGAACACAAGCAGGGGGAGTGGGAGAAGCAGGCTTCCTGCCGAGCAGGGAGCCTGATACGGGGCTCGATCCCAGGACCCTGGGATCATGACCTGAGCTGAAGGCAGACGCTTAACGACTGAGCCACCCAGGTGCTCCAGGGCAAAGTTCTTAACCTAGTTTGGTCTACAGACCTCTCTGAGAATCCGAAGAAAGCTATGGACACTTTTACAAAAATAAACTAATCAAGGAAGCTATAAGTGGATACACACCAGCACTTTTGTGTTCATCTTCCTGGAATCTACAGACGCCATGTTTGAACCCTGAATTAGGGAAAATGCTTTCCACCCACTCCTTGAAAACTACTTATATCCTTCCTCCTAGTAGTGTGGGAAATCCCAAAAGCCAGGGAATGAACTCAGCAGCTGTCAAAGTGCATTGGATTCACTCTCACTTCTCTTCACTTTTCTCGGCCTTCCTGAAACAAGTACCAGGGAGGAATTGTAGTGTGGGATCCCGGGAGCCAAGCTTCAAATCAGCCTTTTGTAAAATCAATTCCTTGGTGTGTGATTGAGTTTCTTTGGTGAACTAGAAACACCCAGAAGGTCAAAAGTTTGCTTTTTCTGTCACTGACTTGAGCCTGGCACGCTCTGCAAAGCTCCCCTTTGATCGCCTTATCTGAACCCAGGGTATCTGTTTTCTAAAGCTGTCTCTAACCTGGGGGCTGCCTGACAGAACTCTGGGCAGGACTCGCTTTCCATTGTTGGACCGTGTAACTCAGGGACTCGCTCTTCTTAGAGAACCAGTATCAGTGTGTGCCAAAGACACCTTCAGGGCACTATTGTTCCCTCTACTTGAGTCCGGGGGCTCGGAACCACATTTAGGAAAACAGTGGCTGCGGATGGTTTGTGGCCACTTGGCCACCAAGGGAGAAGTGTGCCCTTCTCTGTCAGCTGGCATGGTGCTCACTCAACTGAAGGGGCTCTGTTTGCTCTTGGAAAAGGAGGACATCGGGAAGAAAAGAATATACACAAGCCAGGGACGCCGAGTGGCAAATCTGCCCAATCTGCCTGTGGATACTCACCAAAGCCCATCAGAGAGCCTCGTTTTGGTTTCTAAATGCTATGAGCTTGAAGGGCTCTGGCAGGGCTGGAGGAGATCATTTTCTAAACTCCTGAATTTTCTAAATTCTCACTCAAATGGCATCTGCGTAGACAATGGGATAAACTTGCTTTGGAAGCCAACTTCCAAGTTGCAGGGGCATAATTGTCTACATCTGTGTAAATTCCAGCTCGTAGTTGTGCCAGAGAAGAAAATGTTATAGAATATAGGGTAAGGTAGGCACCTGGATTCAGGCCTGCTACCAGGCCATCCTCACTTGCTTCTCTCTTTCCTTTCATTTCATCCTCACCTCTTTGGCACATACTCCTGTCTTCTCCTCTTGCTCACAAACACAACTGATGGTTGCCAGAGGGGAGAGGGGAGAGGGGTCTGGGGTTGGGCAAAAAGGGTGAAGAGGAGTGGGAGCTCCAGGCTTCCAGTTTGGGAATGAATAAATCGTGGGAATAAAAGACACAGCATAAGGGATATAGTCAATGATACTGTAACAGCGATGTAATGGGACAGACAGCTGTACTCCTCGTGAACATAGCGAATATATAAACTTGTCAGATCACTGTGTTGTACACCTGAAACTAATGTAACATTGTGTGTCAACTATACTCAAGAAAAATAAAATAAAATGAAAGAAAATAAATAAACAGGCGAATAAAGTTCTAACAGAGCAAATTCTGTTGATTTATTTGAATAAAGGTAAAAAAATGGAGGTTAGCAAATTTAGAAATGATTTATGCTTTTTCAACATGGGCTTTGTGTCTGGCTGAAAGTAAAGCAGTTCACACACATGCACACACCCAAATCTAGGACAGAGAACACTGAATAAATCTATGACAGACTAGATACTATTCATGCTTTATTCCTTTGATGTCCAGCTTCAGGGCTTGACATCATTAAAATTGTGTCAAGAAATCCTGGGAGACACCGAACAGGATTAGGAAGTTAGGTAGTGCTTGACTAGGAATGGGTGGGAAGCTGGAAAAAAATGAGGGAAAAGGGAATCATTACGTATGAAAGGATTACAGAGATAATCTCCTTTTCGACAAGGCAGAGAGTAAAGAATGTCTTAGATATACAAGAGAAGTCAGTCTCAGCGTGAATGTTTTTTGCCCCCTCCCCAACACAGGAAGTTTTTAAAAAGAGGTCCCAGAGAAGGGGAATGTGGTATAAATGTCAGTTGGCTAGTAGTTGTGGGATTGCTAATTCTGTTGGTTGTTAAAGAGAGACTAGGCTCAGTTGAGCAAATGAGAGAGCATGGTTTGCTAATTTCCCCCTTATCAGATCTTTTAGGTAAGAAGTAGTGGGTTCATGATTCATTCAACAAATTTTATCAAGTACCTTCTATCCCAGGCACTTTACCACATACTGCGTACACAGTGAAAAATAATAGAGAATCACTTCCGGGGGTGGGGTGGGGTAGGTGAAATAGGCAAAGAGGTTCAAAAGGTACAAACTTCCAGTTATAAAATAAGTAAGTCCTGGGAATGTAATGCACAGCATGGTGACTATAGTTAATAATACTGTGCTGTATATTTGAAAGTTGCTAAGAAAGTAGATCTTAGGGGCGCCTGGGCGGCTCTGTCGTTAAGCTTCTGCCTTCGGCTCAAGTCATGATCCCAGGGTCCTGGGATCCAGCCCTGCATTGGGCTCCCTGCTCCGCGGGAAGCCTGCTTCTCCCTCTCCCGCCCCTCCTGCTTGTGTTCCCTCTCTCGCTGTGTCTCTCTGTGTCAAATAAATAAATAAAATCTTAAAAAAAAAAAAAAGAACGTAGATCTTAAAAGTTCTCATAAGGAAAAAATTGTAACAATGTATGGTGATGGATGTTAGCTAGATTTACTGTGGCGATCATTTCATAATATATACAAATATCCAAATCATTATGTTGTACAGCTGAAATTAACATAATGTTTTATGTCAATTATATCTCAACAAAAAACATTTGATAAAAATAAATTTGAATTTAACAACCACCACAACAACAAAACCGGTCTCCTTTGTGCAGTTTGAGGTCTAGTGAGGACATCAGAGAGCACCTGAGCTGAGGAAAGGCTTGAGGCTCCCACTATTTCTGGCTGTGAATTTTTAACATGACAAAAGTAATCAAGATACTCCTCTTTCATGGACCGTGGTTGGTTTTAGAATGCAAATTCGTGTGCGGAGCTAGAAAGAAAGAAAGTGGTA